AATAAAAAACTTAATATATAAAATAATTTAAATTGCTAATTATATTTTAGATCGCGAGATAAAAGGGTCGAAGTATCATTGAGTAAATACGCTTTTAAGTTCGTCGCGCGCGCGCTGAAGTAAATTATGTTCTATGTTCTATGTTCGTGGTAACTCTATTTACATTCCAACAATACTTTACGTTACGCTAAGTGCGTTAAATTTTGCGAGTATTATCGCTGGCAATTTCTTGGATGAAAATTCACATAATTGCAGTTATCTTCGTAAGCCAATCTAACTTTATAGTAACATATATTTCTGTTACTCAGTCTCCATGATCCAACTTTAGTTAATTTTGTGGAACATTTAACTTTGAAATTGCAGTACGCGCTATAGTGCACATGAAATATTTTCATCCATTGTCATCAATGTATTAGCTCGTATATAAAATCATACAATAAAATAATTTGAGACTCAAGAAGTAAAAATATATACATATTTTCAAACTTTTTAAACATATATTTCAATTCTTGTTACGTTTCTCTGAATATATTTCTCAATATCAATCTGTTGTAATAAGAAATTGAACAAAACTATGGATGTATCAAAATTAGTTTCTGTTTAACAGTGTTCTGTTTAGCTTCTGAGTACAATAATCCGCTTTAGAACGCCAATCAAAGCATTATCATTGATCCAATTGTAAATTTCGCACATAAAGAATAATCGAGGTCAAGGCGGATTTAGTGCAAGTATCAACGGGCAGGATAGCTGAATGCACGTGTCGAGAGGAGATACCGGGCCCTCCTTTGTAGACGCAATCGAGCTAGGCGGTTGATTGAAGTGACCGCAATAGTCTGCGGCAGTGTTCAATTTGTCGGGGCAGGTTCCGAACATTCTCTTTGGTCACATAAAATCTGTACAATCGCGGCTAAACCATATCGCAGGCAGGTCCTAAAACAGTTCTCGGCATAGTTTCCTAATCAGTATCCGGAATATCTACAACATACTGCATAATAATGCGGTTGTGGAATTACTATATATACATCCAAATTGCGAATTAATATCCACTTAACTGATACAAATACTAAACTTCTCGCAATAATATCTAATTTGTAATTAATTGTAGATAAATGCTTAATAATTGAAATCTGTATCGAGTTTCTATTTTCGAAAAACATAGAGATATGTTACATAATCGCAGAAAAAAAGAGAGCGAGAAAAAGAGAGAATAAACCATAAAATCAATTATTATTTACTAATGAGCAGTGATTTGTTAAGCGTATTTACTCGTACTTAAGCGTATTTATAGCTTTTTTCCAGAATTATTTACGTTCCTTAAAAATTAAATGTCCGTACCAACGTTACAATAGATAAATAAAAGTTTTGGTCGTTCTGTTTCTTGCACTCAAACAATCCTATCGGACTGTTACGTTGCGGTGAAATATTTTTCTCTCTCTTTCTCATTCTCGTTTTAACTACGCGTCAGAAGGCAGCTTGTTAAACCTCCAAGTATTTGCCCCGGACTGCTCGAAAATTCCAGTGGAGGACCCGATGCCCAGAAAAACAGAGTACGTTGGAACAGATCCAGATAATAGCGTGCCGCAAGATTCGACAGTCATCGAGAAAAACGAAAGCGCCGTTACTTTTGGCGCAGAATAAAAATTCTTCCGAGTTGAAAACAGTTAAACTCCGTGAAGCAGAATGAAATCATTGTTTAACTTCTTGATCTGCGCACTTATGTTCTCTTTGTGATTTATAATTTGGGACCCAATTTTTAAATATGTATGTACAAATTAAGAAATTGCAAGCAACTGCAATATATTTCAATCAAATATATTGCTGATGAGAAATTGATTTCAAATGTGATAAAAATATAATCGTTATATTAATTGCTGCTATAAAATATAAAAATTTTATAGTCCCGTATAATTCCGCAATCCTACACTGCAGTTAAACTAGCGACAATGTTAGAAGATGAGATGCGGCTATGATCGTGCGCAACTATGGTCCCATTAGCCTACAGGATCGAGCGGGCGCTTGGAGAGCGGCAGAACGGCTGACAATGAAAAGTTTCAGCGAGACGTTAAATTATGCAAGGGAATGCGGCGATGTAATGACCGCGTGAATTAACCTCGACCTTAGATGGAGCTTTGGATGGTGGTTTTTGAAAGGGGTGACGTTAAACGATAAGATCCAATTATCGAGAAACAGTTTATCTCGCGGACGAACGAAAGGATAAGCCGGCGAGAAACTCAGAGCTCACTTTTCTCCACGGAATGGATCGGGACTCCGAAAACGTCCGATATATGCCACGGGAGAAGAAAAGCCGATTGTTAACTCCATTGATATACGACCGATTTAAAGAATCCCCGAGCTGTCGAGACGGAAATAATTATAAGATCGCTATCGATAAGCATAAATAGTCTGTATCTCGTAACACAGTTCCGAAAGAAATTATAAGTAGAGTATATTTTTATAAACATATTAACATGGATGTACAACTATATTATTACCGTTTTATTAAGATATTTTCTGATGATGTATATATTACAAAGCAGAAAGATATTCTATCATAACATAAAACCGTTTGGTATTCCTAAAAATATAATCTATTAAAATTTCGACAATTATAAAATACTTGTTGTCTATTTTTCGCAACACTGGGGTTTGAGAATTCTTTTTCCGTTATCATAGTATAAAGTTATCTTTCGTGATACAATATGTTATATATTATTTCGTTGTTCCTACCGCTTCTCCATTGTGCGCTTTTCTGATACAAGGATCAATATCCATGTATTGCCGTACATTTCGAGGATATATCGAAGTTCATCTTCGCTGATGCTACCTCCCACGGGACACGGGAATGCAGCTCCCATACAGCACGGGAGGTAAGCATTCCTCGTGTAAGACGGCGCGCGTAATCAGGATAAGAACGCGGTTTGAACATAGGAAACTCGAAAGCTTTACGTGACGAGGCTGATAATGCATGAACCGGACAAACGAGATTGGAAATTTCGTACACGACGGTAGTAAAAATGTTAGCAATATAGTGAACATGAGCATTATATTTGGGACAGTTTCTACCTTGTATATCAAGAAGTCACGAGGCTCGTTGCATGCACTCATTCATCGCACATGTGTGATATTTGTCTTCGGGATATTTCTCTTGACATACGGTCACGATGTAAAATGAGGCTTTTCCCAAGGAAAATTGCACTATTTCTTGTTTTCTACATTTCCTGAAAGTTTTTATTTTATTCTTTATTTTTCATAAATTCGTATGCCTCTATATTTCCCACTCATAATAAATTTCTTCTTTATTGTAATTTATCTTTCTTTAGAATCTTATAATCATACAGGTATTATGCTAATTAAAAGTCATAACCAAAAAATGTTAAAAAATTGTGAATAATGGTTCGAAAAACCTCAATGACACGAAGAACCTCAGTTATTATTATTACGTTATGTTACAATTTTAGATACAAAATTTAAAAGTTTTTCTATATAAATTTGTCACAAGTCATGAATTTTTCAAACTAAAAATCTTAATTTATACGTTACAACGTTAAATGTTATTGTATATTATTATCTATTTCTCTTTAATCCCCGTTTATTAAAATTTTCTATATTTTTAGGAAATATCAAATAAATTCTGTTGATTAATTGTAAGACAGTTTCATACACACTGTATATGAAAAACATGAGAAAAGTAATTATAACATGTATTAAAAAAAAAAAAAACTTTTATTTGTGTCTCCAAAAGCAAAATAAAATTTTTCGAATTTTCATTTTTTTAAACTGTATCCGACTGGTTCTGACGTAATCAATTTCTCATTCAGTTTTCGGTAACGAATGGGTTACAACAATCTACGTTTTCACAAGAGTTGACGACTTTAATTGGTATACGAGGACTCATAAAAGCTTTGATTGTAATGTTAATTATTTATATACATTGCACTCTCGTGACGCGCATCTGTGAAAAGGTCCTCGAAAAAATATTTCAAGTATTGTAAAAACAAGTATTGTAAAAACATTTTTGTGAAAAGAAGATTTCAGTGAAAATAAATTTTACAAGTTAAAAATAACATTAATACCTACAAGTTACACAATAAAATGTTATCTGACACATAAAATAAGCACTTTGTTAAAAATCTTGTTAAATAAACGCTTTTTATTTAACGCTTAAATTATGTTGTATAAAAGTTGATGTTTTAAAACTTGATGATTTATGTTGTGTGAAACGGCGATTTGTTTGTAATATTCTTTCTCTCTTTCTCTTTTTTATCTTTTCTTTATTTAATATAACATAAATTTATGAGCAGAGAAATTTCTCGTAATTTATGGTGCTGCTCGTCCATCTTTCAGCGTGTTCTTTAACACCGCATCGTCCGCGGAAAAAAAGCTCGTCCTCAAGAATTTATTATACTAAATTTGTAATAGTCGCAAAAATATGCGCAAATAGTTTACTTTGCCAACAATGTTCAATTGATTAAATAACGTACTTTGTACGCCATTATCATGCAACTTGACATTCTGAGCAACGAAAGTCCTTTGTCTTCATAAACCTTGTTAAATATACATGCGCTTTTCCGCAACAATTTTTAATTGCGATATGAAACTGTATAATGAGTAACGAGACCGTTTCTAACGCGTTAATTCTTTTTGCGTGTCGCACAAATTTCAAACGAAATTCAATCTTGTGTCTATTTTTGAAATAGAAAAGTCTTATACATATTTATAATATTAACTTGCAAGAATTATGTCCCAGATTTTTTCCTTGTCTTTTATTCATTATTTTATTCTGCAGTTGATGGATTTGGGTAATTGAAATCTGTTTATTAATGTAAAACCACATTATTATATAAATATTAAATAATTACTTAGTGAGAACAATTATCTATTGCTGAGATCTGTTTTCTTTTTGTTAATGATTTACGTATAGCTTTTACTTAAAAATTCAAAACACGTTTTATATGAAAAAAGCTATTTAATATAATAGTAAAATTTAATTATTATTACAGGACGAGAAGAACCAGTTGCTCATCACGAATCTCTGGCTGAAACTGGTAAGTCTTCAAGCTTTCCGAAGTTTTCGATTCGAGGGAAATAAAACCGTTCTTTCAACGTCTTTCCAATTGATAGCTGCCACTTACACGAACGGCACGAAATTTGCCGGAGATACCTCAGTCATTTTTTAAAGGATCTTTTCCGTTCAAGTTAATTGGGTGACTAGTCCTGATAGATTTGTAGTTGTTTCGGGGTAATCCAATTTATCCCGGTTACACATCACCCTGTTTTACTCAACCGTACCAAAATTATTCTCGCATAATAGTCGCGTCATGTAAACTGGGCACCGGAGTAAAAACATATGAGACAAAAATATCGTTATAAACTACATGTGACGTACTCTAGTTACGTACGATTGTACTTTACCATACATTGTATTTATTAACGTTTTTATTTTGTCGTAAAATCGTTATGACATACAATTACGCTGCTTTTTTAATCAACAGTTTCGCATATAGCTTGATATACCTCTATCACATACGAAAGTATTATTTGCAATTTAATCATTCGATCGTTAATGTATTTCAAGGATGCGTGATAGGAAAGCGTCGGAAACACATAGCCAGGTAGAGTAACGAGGTCGGATCGGATTTTTATCGGGATCCGAACTATTAATAGAGTCGCCGCAACAGGTTACTCCCAGAGCACGGTAGGCGAGGGTGCGCCCTTATTAGGACTGCGACGGTGTTTTCTTTAAGAGAGAGTGAGAAAGCGGCTTCCGATCCGTTCGCTTCCGACGCGACGCGCGAAAGCCGCTCGGCGTTGTTTATTTTTCTCAGCTTATGGGACGGCTTATGCAAGTTCAATCCCGCATTGCAAGCTCATGCGGGCTTTGCAATGACCTAAATTCGAACATTGTCGATTCTACCGACGATCGTTTTCGGCTGATTGACGGATTGCACGCGCATCGGACACGCGCGAAGCCCTTCAGCGCTCCCGACAACTTTAACGACGCCGATGGCGAAGGTCGCGATCGTTACGCTTATTGATTGGCCCTAATCTCCCTGAGCGCGTCCTTAATCTTTCGTCACTGCGAATTAATATTCCGGATTTGCTCGACAACAAAACTTCTGTTAAATTTGCCTTAATAATATATACGTTGCTGATGTCGTCGCTAAATTAACGTCTCGGTGTATCACGTTTGCGTTGTTTTTAAATTTTTAAATTTTTAAATTTTAATGTAACATCTTAACATGGTTATGATCCCGTTTTCGTATTTTCTTGCAACGTTATTTCACCGCGGCATCTGATATATATATAGCATTTGCAATTTCGAGGCTACTATCACGTCGAAGATATAGAAACGTCAGCTTCCTTCTCCCACTATTTAATCTTTCTTTCGTGTCTCGTGACGGTCAATGCATACGGAAGTAACACGCAGCTGCATGTGACTCAAAATGCTGATATGTTTGCAAATATAAATCACGTGGGTAGAGAGATATTCAAAGAAACATTCGACATCCGAGTATCGATATAATGTTGTATATTTCCCGGTAGCGTCGCTATCAGATGCACTTGTGTCGAATCCCAAGAAGAGAGCCAAAATTAAATCTATCTTCTAGGAAGAACGGCATACACTTTACTTTTCCATGATCAAAATGCACAGATTGCATCTGTAACATCGAGAGGTAGCTGGAACGCGTTTTATCTAGATCGGAAATAATAGAGAGGTCTATGAGAAAACGTTCGTACTTTTGGAGAAATATAATAATAATAACAACTTTTCCCTTTCTGGGATAAGGGACAGACGCAAAGAATTCGAAATTTAAAACTCGCAGCGTTAATTCGTTAATGATTTACACGATGTTATGCTCTAACACAGCTCGCATGAATGTTGCAAACACATTCGACACTCGCAATTACGGTCGCTAGAAATTATTAACTTAATCGGTGCATGCGATTATTTTATTAAATCATGCGCGGCATGCAATATTCCACTTCTAGACCAAAAAATTATTAGTGTCACGTGGCGAGCGGTTTTTTTTTACCTTTTTTCACTCGCATATAAATTGGAAAAATATAAAGACCGCGATTAAAAGGTTCTATTTATACATCAGAAGTGATTATTTCCAATACATTCGCGCTTGCTCATAAAGCAATTTCGATCCGCGTTTTCAGCCCGATGGGCCGATGTTTTACTGATGTTTGAATTGCAAACTGGATGATGAATCAATTTCATTCATTGATTTTCGCGGCAATGAAACGTCGCAAATAAAATTTGCTATAATATCGTATAATATCAATAGTGTAAAATTCAATTTATCTTTACATATGATTATTATTGTAAATTAACGCCATCATCACGTATTATTAATAATCACGTATTATTAATAATTTTATCGTATATTATTGATCATGATTGCCAGTAAATAATCCGGATATTACAAAACTGGTATATAATATATTTCTGCGGCTAGGTATATTATCCGCGTTTCATACTGCCTCGTACCGAACAATATATATCTTCCTATCAAGTGCACATCACTTTGTCATTCTGTCTTACTGACTGAGCGACAGGATGATCGATGATATAAAATTTATGTAAAAACGGGACTCGACGAAACGCGGCGCGACGAGACGGCGCTACAAGTTTCGTTACTTCGGTCCTGTCGCCTCTTCTGCGCGGCGGGAAGGAAATGCATTTACATAATTTTCGCCATGGCTGATAGAACGGGAAATGCAACTAGCACAACGATACCGCAAGCCATTGGCAGGAGCACGCGCGAAGTATACGTATGCGAACGCAACACGTACCGGATGTATCGTAATCTACACCTTCGCGCGCGCGGCTATATCTCCCGAGGCGTCTGGCAATTTCTTCCAATGGATGGGTGATAGTTGCGCGCTAGACCGGCGAAACGGCTGCCCAGGGAGCCTGTGGACTATCGTGGATAATGGAGATACCGTGTTCGGATCATTTAGATATCTTCCTTCGGACGATATATATATACTATAGTGTATTAGGGAAGGAGGGCGCACCCGCGCTGCACAACGATAACCGTTGAAGCACTACGTGGAATCTTCCGGTAGATCCTAAACAGACCCCTTTCAATTCTTTATGCGCACTGAATCGCTTCGAAATCAAGTTTCGACGATTGGTTACGATGTTAACGGGTCGTCCTGATATGTTTCTTTGATTTACGTTTGCATTTTTTAACGGCTGTCTGATACTTATATTTATATAAGCAATTCTTTACCACGTGTGTTGGACAAGCTTCGCAAGTTCCATTACTGCTGTGGCGACGATAAATCACGCGGGTTGAAAATAACGTATATGTATGCGCATATAGGGTTTCCGGGCGGCGCGGTGGTGCGCTTTACTACGTGCTAAGAGTGGAAACCAGTGCAACTCGGGTGACATAAAATATAAAACTTCGTGCCAAAGACGATGTATTATGTGTAAGTGCATCAGTATACGAATCACATCTGAAGCGTGATTAATGCGACTTCTTGCGGATGTTAGTGTGCGTGTCAAAAAAAGAAACGATCGTATTTAGCTCTTCCTTCAGAAAGCAAGTTTCACTCAAATTAGTCCAAAACAAGTCTGAATTTGAATTCATGTCTAGATTTTTTGAATATCTTAACACGCTATTGACAATAAATCCGAAAGATTTATTTTCTCTTAATTCCAAAAGATTTGTTGCTTTTAATCCGTCCAAACGTCTTGTACATCTTGTAAGACAAATCTTTTGTCATCGATGAAACAGTATTAGCGACAAATTTTTCTAGCGTCTATTCAAGACAGACGAACTTCCACTTGGAGAAAATCCACGGTCGTGGCGAAGAAATTTTCTACCCCGATGTAACTATTTGGTCGACTCTAGGAAAGAGAGCTCTCGAGCAAGGAGAATACTAGCGAGTCTCTCTCGGTGAGCTTTAATGGGCCAACCGGTATTATGAGCGAAGTCAGAATCTCTCCTTCCATTCGTAGCGGGAGCTATTTCTTTTTCTCTTTTCCGCTTAGTGTACTGTGTACTGCATCTTTTCACCCTCCATCTTTCGCGCCCGACGCGTCTCACGGTGCCACCACTTCGTACATGCACTTAGACGAGTTCATTCACTCGGCACAACCTACTTGGAACTCCGCGGATGCGGAAAGAATGATTTACACACATGCGAATCGCGGAGATACAAGAGTTTGGACGATTCTGATTGTGAGTCGAGTTTTATTTTCGAATTAATTGGGGAAAAAAAATACTGTACTCTTTGTTCTATTCTCTTTGTTTCAAACGAAAGTATATAGATTCCATCGAAATGACGGTATGTCTGGCTTAGCTTTGTAAGCGGACTTGATATCTCTATATTTGCTTTTTGCACCAAATATTTGAAATTGGAAAATTGGAACTGGAATCGAAAAAAATTCCTTCGCATGTACACCTTTGTATTTTTTCTATAATAGTAAAACAGAACAATTTTTGAACGTAAATAAATTAAAACAGTAAAAGCAATTTTGTCTAAAACTTCCTGATGCTGCAGAAGGTCGCAAAAAAAAAAAGTAGATCGGAGGCGACAGCCTGCATGTATTTCGCGTACTTTGCGACTGAGCTTTTTAGGTCCAAAACTTTTAATGACGAATTTCAAATAAAAATTAAAGAGATACGGAAAAAAAAACATTCACGAGCTTTTGATTAAAGTTTGATTTGGTCATTAACGAGTGCTCCACACCTCCTCCAAATCCAGATCCGTAATACTACAGCTGTGCTATTTATCGAGAGAAAAGTTTCTAGTATCTTAATTAAACGCGCTAAATTACATTACTTTTTTTTTGCGTGCATTAATTACGAGGACTCTCGATTTAAAGTGACGCTATTTATCCATTAGATATAATTGCTTAATTAAGCGTACAGTAAGAGACGAAGCGATCACCCGATATATCAATTTTACGCCGATTTAATTTTCAACGCCTGCGCGATACCTTATCTTTCCTTTTTAGCGGGGACAAGAACTCGTTTATGAAAGATCTCGCAACACGCGATATCGTTACGAAAAGGCTGTATCA